TTCCACATGAGTGGTATCATATGGTATTTTTCTTTCTTTTTTTGGCTTACTTCACTTAGAATGACAATCTCTAGGTCCATCCATGTTGCTGCAAATGTCATTATTCTATTCTTTTTTTAACAGCTGAGTAGTATTCCATTGTATAAGTAAACAACATCATCTGATATAAGTCTTAGCAATGTTCTTCTAGGGCAGTCTACCCAGGCAATAGAAATAAAAGCAAAAATAAACAAATGGGACTTAATTAAACTTACAAGCTTTTGCACAGCAAAGGTGATTTCATAGGAGAAGTTTCATAGGCATGGTAGGCGTGGTGCAGTGAATTGAAGAATGAATGAGGGGGTGAAACAGTTTAAACAGACTTCACTTTCCATTCAAGAAGCCTGTTGGGGAGAAAGGAAGTGAGGGTTGTACAGAAAAAGTTGGTCACTGAACTAAGATCAGAGACGGGGGGTTAGCTTGTGCCTCAAATCCAAGGGTGTTTTGTTCTGTTTTGTTTTGTTTCTCACTAGGCTACAGTTCTCCCTAAAAGTTACCTCACAGATGAGGGAAGAATTAGTTTTTGTCTTGTAATGGAGAGTTTGCCCTTGTAAATTAGCACACAGAGGAGTTGAGGATTTGGGGGCTACTCCACAAGAGGTAAATGAAGTGTGATTGAGTGGGGTGGTGTGTTGGCTGGTGGATGGGTTTGCTGATTGGTGTCTGGGGGCCTTACTAGCAAGTAGACGTCTAAGGTATAATAGACAAAATGAAGAACTTTAAGGTGTTAAAAAGTCTTTTTAGCATAGAGGACAGTTTGGTGGTTCCTCAAAAAGTTAAACATAGAATTAACGTAACACCCAGCAATTCCACTTTTGAGACTACTGAAAACTGTTGTTCAAATAAAAACATGTGCATGAATGTTCATGGCAGCATTATTCATAATGGACAAAAAAGTGGAAACAACCCAAATGTCCATCAACAAAATTGGTAAAGTGATAAAATGTGGTCTAGCCATGCGATAGAATAGTATGCAGCCATAAAAAGAAATACGGTTCTGATACATGCTTCATGGAGGAACCTTGAAAATGTTATGCAGAGTGAAAGACATCAGACTCAGAAGGTAACATGTTGTAGAATCCCAATTACAAGAACTGTCCAGAACAGGCAAATCCATTGAGTTAGGAAATAGAATAGTGGTTGCCTAGGCCTTGGGGGAAGGCAGAGTGGACCGTGGCTGCTTAATGCTTAATATGAGCTTTCTTTTTAAGATAAAGAAAATGTGCTGGAATTAGGAAGTGGTGATCATTGCACAACACTGTGAATGCCCTAAAAGCTGCTGAATTGTATGCATACTTTAAAATGGCTTAATGATTAATCTTATCTCAGTTGAGAAGAAACTTGCTTTCCAGCACCTCTTCCTAGTCTCACTGGCCCATAAAATTAGTTACATTTTATGCTGAGGCTGGTTTTCCAGGATGCTAAGTAACACCAAAAAGAATGGAAAGTCTTTTTCTCCATAGGCAATTATGTCAGTTCCTTTAAGGATGTATTTTTGTTCATGAATTTCTTTACTGGTTTTTGATTTACACCTGGATTCTAGTCTGAGAGCTTCTGAATTATGGGAATTCACTTAGGAACATTTGGAGCTGTTGTGATTTTTTTCTATTTTGGTCATTTATATAGTTTCTTCTAAAAAAAAATCTGAATGCGTTTAATCTTTCAACCATAAACTCTGAAACAAACAACATTTGGATATCAGATTTTTGTTTTCAAAAGAAGCATAGACATACTGAAAGCCACTGTCAATTTTAGATATTCATTAGACACTTATTTTCACCTAGTAGAGTAGGAGGCACCCATAAAAATCCATCTGTTTTAGAAACGACAAGAGTTTAGAAAACTTTCTTCCCCTAGCCCCTAAACTAAGAGCAGTCATAGAATGGAAGGTACATAACGCTGTCGTTGGTCCATCCTGCAGGGGTACGTGCAGTAGTGAGACAGCACTGTGTTCCCAGTCAGTGAAGCCCTTCTGCAGGACCTGGCCTGACTCGGATTCTTTGTAGTGAACTCTTGTGTATGCTGCTGTGGTCCTTCTGAGTGATCTAAGCAACCTCTCTGTCGCCTTTTTAGTCTCTGCCATTGTCTGATTTGAGATTTGCGGGCTGCAAACTACATGAACACCTTTAATAGCCAGTTTTGAAATTTTGAGGTCAGCCATAATCTTACATCTTCCTTGTTAATCTTCAGAAAAACAGTGTATTAATGGATGATAAACGTCTTGTAAACGTCCTTTGTAAATTAAAAAAAAAATGAAATCCTTTCTTAGCCTTCTTATTTCCTCCGTAATATCCTCAATTTCCTTTGGCTATTTTTAATCATTCCTCCCTGAAGTGGATGGCATTTGGTTCCACCGCATTTACTACAGTTATCTTTTGTGTGTCCAAGAAGTTTTGCTCATTTTATGGATGTCATTTTTAAGTCATATTTTTGGCAGTAAGCATTTTTGGTAACTGAGAAAAAAAAAAAAAGAGCTCTCAAGGGTAAGGATTATTCTGAGGTTTTGAGAGTTTTCCAGTTGGAAACAGTTGACTTTGTAGAAAGAAAAGAGAGTATGTAATTCCTTGAGTACAGTCTTTTCTATGAGATTCGGATGGGTTATTCTGGAAGAACTTCATTGTCACGGCCAGGAAGTGGCACGGAGCTTTCAGGGATGGACTTCCGTGGGGGAAATGACCACATAAGCTTAAGGACAGGTGTTCTCCAGAATACGGTTAAGCAGATAATCAACAGACAAAATGTACATTTCCAGGGATTTTTCTTTCCTTTTGAATAAAGTCTTTTTAGTTCATGATGCCGAGGCAGACTAATTTTTGTCTTGTTGACTACAGTTATGTGTGTTTTCCTGTATGCTTTGAATCTGATTTGTGATATTTAAAATAACTGCAGTTGCTACCAACAGATTTCATTTTGAGGCTTTTCAGTTTTAAGTGACTCCTTGTCAGTCTTTTTCAGCTGAGAGTTAATGGAAGGGTAATAATTTTTGGCTGACCCAGCAACAGTTTCTCATTGAAATTTAGTTGTCATATAGGCAAGTTGATCTTAATAGTTATTTTATATTGGAAAATAAATAGTTCTTGTTTATTTTTCTCTTGGAGAATGTACTATCCTTTTTAGATTAAATTTCACTATTACATACACTATTGCATGAGACAGTGATGCATACCATAATATGAATCATTTGTATGAATGTGTGTTTTTTATTTTACTTTGAATAATCCTAAAAGGACTTCAGTATGGCTTTGGGTACTGAGTGTTTCTCTTTTTATAGCCTTTTCCTCTAGTCTCCTCTTCCCGGTGGTTGGTAAAGAGGGGTGAGTTGACAGCCTATGTAGAAGACACTGTGCTTTTCTCAAAGAGGACGTCCAAACAGCAAGTCTACTTCTTTCTCTTTAACGACGTGCTCATCATCACCAAGAAGAAGAGGTAAGCCTTTTTGTGGTGTTGCTGCTGTCCATCCAGGTTTAAAGCTCTGTGATTCTAATGCCTGTTGGAGGTGATGATCCTTTAAGAGCTCTGGAGGTTGGGTGTATGGTTTCTGCACATGGAATCATAGTGGTATCTGTGCTTCATTTTTCTGAAATTTCCTCTGCTGTGAGGACGCCAGTCATCACCGGCATCATCGCTCTAGCCAACCTGTGCTGAGCCTGCCTGCACCGTGGGCAGGCCTCTCTTCTAAGCATTTTACCTGTTTATGTAATTGGATTCTCATGGCATCCCTGGGGAGCCAAGCATCTTTTTACTCCCAGTCAACAGTTTTCTAACTTTGTCTGCTGCAGAACCTTTGTGTGAAACAGATGGAAGTGGCTCCAGTCAAGAACAAGCTGGTGCGCAGCTCTAGTGCTTCTTGTAGCTTCATTTAAAGTCCACTGCTCTTAAAGGTCCAAAAAAAAGAGTTTCCCCGTGACCGGGAGGATGTTAGCAACACGCCAGTACTCCCTTCTGCAGCGAGTAAAATCAATCACATGGTTGGCAGAGTGTTTATTCCTTTAGACTCTGGGTTGTGTAGTCATGTCCGGCTGTAGGGAAACATCCAGGAGGAAGGCTGTTCTAGTCTTTTCTTATGGCGCTTGTTCTGACTGTCCCCACTGAGAACACACACACACACACACACAGTCCCCTTTGCTCTGCCTTTCTCTAGGGAACATTCTCTATTAACTGTACTCAGTATATGCAGGATTATAAAATACTTCCCTGCTGTTCCTCCATAAATAGTCCAGCTTTCCTAGAATATGAACTTAGAGTGAAAATATAAATCTGGGGTGTGTTATTGTCACATCAAGGCAATGAGAGTGGGCCGAATTGCCGGCATATAACAGGAGTGGGGGTAGTTAGTTCATGGGGTACAGTTTAGACAAGGTACAGAGAATCATGGAAACAGACTTCTATCAAATCTCTGTAAGATAAATACCCAATTTTATTGTGAAATATTTAATTTCTACTTCTGGGTTGCTGGTATTTTAGCTTGGACATCAAACTGAATTGAAACAGACGGTGAGCTTTTCCTTCTGCTCCTTTTATCAGACTGTATTATGAATGATTTCAGCTGCTTGCTGTCGAGGTGAAATGAGAACGTTGTACGGTCTGCCCTGAAAAACCGTACTGTGATGGGGATGAGTTCGTAAAGATGCTGGTGGATATTCTTCACACTTGGGAAAATAGTGTTCCCGTAACTTCAAGAAGAAATAATTTCACTTACCTGGGGTAGTTTAAATAGTTCGAGCAACTACGTACATTTTATAAATAAAGATTGGAGAGGAATTAGGATTTTTGTATTTTTATGTTTTGTTGGTTTCCTATGAGATAGTATGTTTCTTTGGCTTTCTTCACGATGTTTTGTTTTTCGGGGAGAGTAATTATATATGAGTCTTCGAATGCCAGAACTCTTGACTTTTAACATCTTCCAGCTGTTGAAATAGTCATTCTGTCTCAGTGGACAAAAAGCTTTAATTAAACTTTTGATTTTAGTGATAAAATAGATATTGATAGTACCAAGCCAGTTTTAAATATAAATGTAGCTTTGATTATGGTGATGAAAACATTAAGGATATTTAAAGCAGTATGGTACGACTTTTATTCTTGACCTTGCATAAAACACAATAAACATAGACTTCTGAAAGTTGCAGTTAAGGTATATGCTACTCTGCTTAGCATCGTACTTTGCCCTGTACAGGACATTTTGTCTTGTATTTAATGTTGCACTCCTGGTTACCCCACCTTTATTTCCTTAGGTATGTTTGAATTTGTATTGTTAATAAAAGAAAGAGATACAGCTTCAGTGGGGAGGGCAACCCAGAGTACCTGACTTTGCTTTTACCAAAACTAGGGTTTTCTTGCCCTTCTTAGTTAGCTCATCGTATTTCTAAGGTGCTCTTGACTCTCAGAATAGCGTTGGAAGTTCAAGCTGTTGATGACGTGAATATGTGGCCAGGGTGACGAGCAGAGCAAGAGGCTTGATAAACAGGCTTGGGTAAAAATGTACAGTATGCGTAGCCGTATTTACATTGTAGCTTCAAGGAGGCAACTGCAAATGCTTCGCATGCCAGGGGCAGCCAGAGGGAGCTGCAGCGGCTCTGAGCAAGGCAAGAGTGTAGGCTTGGCTGCGAGGTGCACACAGAAGATAGCTAACTACCTGTGCCAGCTCTGTGGGACCGATCCAACCTCCCGCTGCCTAATTAGAATTCCAGGGTTCAGTCAGGGAGCTGAGCTGCTGGGGCTCCGGTGGTTTTCAGTTTCAGGGAGGCTCCCCGGCTCCTGGGAGAGACTGCTGGGGAGGACTGTTTCTCTGTCTCCTCCCCAGATCCAGTCTGGCAGATGGTTTATGCTGAGATGGTTTATGCTGGCAGACGGGGTGTGTGGCCGCCGCCTCGGCTGTGCAGGGTGTGCGCGTATCTGCACTGGGGCTGGCAGCGTGGCTAGTAACTGTGAGCTGTCTTCTGGGTGAGGAACTTTCACTCTTGTTTAGAATATCAAGAAGAAGTTCGAAGCAGCTCTGGGCTGCTTTTGAGTCACTGTTATGATACGGTTCTACCAGGTATCAGAAGGCCATGTGAACACCTTGACTACTTTGGATGAGAAAGTGAATTCTTGATGCTTGAGGCTTTGACTGTGGGTTATCTGGATGCTTCTAGAGCAGAGTTTTCAACTCAGCACTACGGAGGTCTGACGGCTCCTTGTTGTGGGGGTGCCCCGTGCTGTGTAGCATGTTTTAGTAACAGCCCTGGCCTCTACCTGCTACTTGCTAATAGCACCTCCTTCCCAGTTGTGACAACCGAAAGGTCTCCAGACTCTGTCACATGTCCCCCAGTTCAGAACCACTGTACTAGAATGATGGCCAATTGCCAACCAGCTTTGCCTTCGGAGGAATGAAGGTGTGCAAATCTATCAGACCTAACCCAGGAGTAGCAGTAATACTGTAAGTAGAAAAGGAGTCAATTGCTGTGTTGTGCTCAGAGGTTAACGAATAACAGCTTGTTAGAACACCCAGTTTGTGCCTAGTAAGAACTTCCTTATGATTACTTTACGTTACAGGGCACAGACCACACCCCGTGTCCAACCTTATGGATTAAGTACTGTCGTTCCCAGTTTCAAAATGTGAAAACTTAATTGAAGACCTAAACAGGTGCCGACTCCCCACAGACTGGCTTTGTAAGGTGGTTAACCGTCTTGTCCTTCTCACTCGGCGCCTTCTCTCTGGCTTCGGTCTTCCTTCCCAATCTCTTCTGAAGCTGAGAACAAAGTTTTCCTCCCTTTAATAGTTTCTACAGCTGCTGGAGCGAAGGACCACAGACTGGGTGGCTTTAAATAATAAGCATTTATTCTCTCACAGTTCTGGAGGCAGGAGTCCAAAGTCAAGAACCTGGTGGGGCCACAGCCCCCTGAAGGCTCCGGGAGAGAATCCATCCTTGTCTCTTCCCCACGTGGCAGCCCCGTGGCTCCTTGGCTGGTGCAGCGTAAATCCAATCTCTGCCTCTGTCTTCAGCTGTCCTTCTTCTCTCCCGTGTCTCTGTGTGTCTCAGAATCTCCTTCTCCTTATGAGAGCATCACTTCCTGGATTTAGGGCCCAATGTAATCCAGAATGATCTCATCTTATTTCCAAAGCAGGCCACATGCATAGGGACCAGGAGTTAGGACCTCAGCATGTTTTCTGGAGGACACAGTTCAACCCCCTGTGCTGCCCAGCCCCTCACCACCACCTCACTTAAACACAGAATGAAGAAATGTGCTGTAAGGTCTCAAGCTAGTTTGGACACACAGTTTTTTTCTTTTTTCTTTTTTTTTTTTAACATTGACTGGTGCCGTTTTCCATAGATTTCTGAATGTCATCATGGTCATGTGACTTGAACATCTCTGTTTGGAGGTCTCAGAGGTTACCTTCATGTCCAGATCTCCTCCTTCAAACCTGTGTCTTCTCCAGGGTCTCTTCCATCCTTAGTGAAAGGCTGCTCCATCCACTCAGTTGCTCCACAATAAACCTGAAAGCCCCCTTTGACTGCCCGTTTCCTCACCATGCTGCCCACCCCGCCAGTCCCGGGCTCCCCTCACACATCACCACTGCCCTTGTATCAGCACCTTGAACTCACCTGGAAGACACAGCTAACTGGATTCATGCCACCAGCCCTCCATCCAGTTTACATTCCACAGACAGGGTATGTTTTTTTAAAAGACAAATCAACTCATTTTCTGGCCTGCAAACAGCCCTTCCATGGTCGCACCTTGCACTTAGCATAGATGCCTCACTGAACCCTGCTTCTAGCCACGAGGGCCTGGCACATGCAGCTTTCTCTGCCTGGAATATTCTGCCTATCCCGTAACCCCATTCTACCCCAAAGCTTTTCTTGGAAAAGTCCTTTCATTCTTTAGATCTTAGATTAACTGTCACATCCACTGGGGGTTCTTATCCATCCCTCCAGAGTGGGTTTATTTCTGCTGCTCTGCGTTCCCATAAAACCCTGCACTTTCTCTGTCATAATATTTGTGTTACTATGTGTTCATGTCTGTCTCGTTTGACCTTTGCATCCTCAGTGCAGAGCCTTCGCCTGGCCCATAATGACCATTTAATAAATATCTGTCAACTGTGAGTCAATCATGTAGGTGGTTGTATATAAACAATTTGAGTGAATGCATTACTCAATGGGCAGCCCTCCCCTGTTCCACTCCCAAGATAAAATTTCTTTGAATTCTCCTTTATTTTTAAAAAGAGACGTGATTTTTGTAGTCAGCTCCGTTATATATTCATTTTAAATTAATTTTGGCAAAAAGAAATCTGGAGCTTTGTTTATCATATGGCTTCTCACATCTGGAGTTTTGCCAATAAACTGAACAGCTGCACATAAATATCATGTAACCTCTGTTTGGAAACCACTTAGGACTACATTTGCAAAACTGTGCTTTATAGAGGAGGTGTTTTTTGTTTGTTTCTAATT